CTTCTCCCTGGGACGGAGGATGTATAATTATAGATCATCATCATCATCATTATAGATGATTTTGAATGGAAAATATTCCCATTACTCCAATATTCATGTAACTCTTATATTTTTAATGGGTATGAAACATTAAATGTCTAATTGGAGGGAAAAGCAAGGTGTCACACCTTGTTACTTTATATTATTATAGATATTCATGTAACTCTTATATTTTTAATGGGTATGAAGCATTAAATGTCTAATTGGAGGGAAAAGCAAGGTGTCACACCTTGTTACTTTATATTATTATAGATAGATTATTCATCATCATCATTATAGATTATTTTGAATTGAAAATATTCCAATTACTCCAATATTCATGTAACTCTTATTTTTTAATGGGCAAGAAGCATTAAATGTCTTATTGGAGGGAAAAGCAAGGTGTCACACCTTATTACTTTATATTATTATACATTATTATAGATATTGTAAACGTTCTGATTTATTTCTTTGTGTTAAGTGAAGTCCTGCCAATTATGTATCCCTATTATTATATTATAATAAAAATAATTATTATTATCTATCATCTTCATCGTCATCGTCATCATTATAGATTATTTTGAATGGAAAATATTCCAATTACTCCAATATTCATGTAACTCTTATTTTTTTTAATAGGTATGAATAATTAAATGTCTAATTGGAGGGAAAAGCAAGGTGTCACACCTTGTTACTTTATATTATTATAGATATTCATGTAACTCTTATTTTTTTAATGGGTATGAATCATTAAATGTCTAATTGGAGAGAAAAGCAAGGTGTCAAACCTTGTTACTTTATAATATTATAGATGATAGATAGATTATTGGACTATGATGACTTGTAAACAACATATCATAACAAAGTATTCCTAGAAACTTCCCCAACATATAAAATTAATTGTAGAATTTCAGTTTCAAGTGGTTCAAATTTGATTAATTTTGAGATTTAATTTACATTAATGGAGAACTTTAATTTAGTTTATAGAAATAATTGTAAAATTTCAGTTCAACAATTTAGTTTATGGCAAGTTTATGTCAACTTTACCCTCATCCTATATAAATTTAGAGCATCTTCAAGGCTACAATGTGCACGGTGCACATGTGACGTGAGAGAGATAGACACAAAAAATTGATTTTATAACATTTCTCTCTCATTCTTTCCACGCTCTTATGTGTTTTTGGAAGATTTTTCTCTACAATGTCAACCACAATGTCTACATCTAGACATTGTGCTTGACATTGTGAAGAAAAACTTACCAAAATGATATAAGATCCTTCAAATAATGAGAGAGTTATTTTATTTATTGCTTTTTGATTGGTTACCTTATCATGTTTATGATAGAATATTGTAGGTTTAGTCATGTAATTTTTTGCCGTGCCTACTTGTAGTCATGTAACTTTACTTCAAATTTGATTTTGTGATTAATAAATTTATCCATATTGAGGACATTTTCACCGGAAGGTACACTTTTTGGTGGAATATTTGACATCGGCAATATCTTTTCGGGAATTTCGGGTATATTATTGACAGAAAGTATACTTTTTGATGAAATATGTTTATTAGTTACAAGCCCAAATATTAGAGTACAATTACAAGACTAATTGTGGGATAACTAAAAGTTATATAGCCAGATATGACTATTAAATTCAGTTGGCATTTGAGTTCTAGCAACTTCTATCCAATTTGAGTTCTAAATGAGGCATTAACTTTAGTTTCAACTCGTTCTTCGAAACATAGCCTTAAGAAATGAAAATCTTCAATCATACGCCAAAAATAATCTACATTAAATTTAATTTAAGTCAAACAAGTAGTACATATATTGATGTTCAATCATTTCCAATTCAGCCAAAGATTTACTGTACTATTTTTTTTACTTGGAAATAAAGCAAAATGACACACCAAATTGTATGAGCTTCTTTGTTATGAAAGACCAGCCAGTCCATGTAATTTTCGATGAGATTTTCATCATGGATCATCCGGAAATAGTCTCTTTGTGTTTTTTTTGTTGTTTGTAAGTACAACATAATACTTAGTTGGTGCTGGTTATTAAACTGAAGAGTAAATTACTCATATAGGACCAAAAGACTCACAAAATGCTAAAATAGGATCGAACTTCTTTCATGTATAATGTTCAGTAGGACTCATTTAAGTTGAGTGGACCATAATAACCTTATTTTAAATAAGGATCTGAATTCATGAAAGCGGAGAGAATACGACAGATAACTGGCTCTCATGTCTCTCGCAGGAGATAAGCTGCCGCCTAATATTTAGGCAATTGGAGATGCAACCTGCAACCGGCGTCATCATTTGCCGCCGCCTCCCTCCGCCATCGTCATCCGCCGCCGCCACTCTCCACAGTCGCTGGTGTCCAACCTACGCCACCGCCGCTCATGTCAACTTCATTTTCAAACACTGCCGCCACAGTCACGATTCCGGCTACATAAATCTGCCATTTAGTTGACAGATTTAGCCTTACCAAAACTGCCATGAATAAGAGTTTTCAAATCTGCCACAAAGTTGGCGGATTATCTTCAACTATTAATACAAAACTGCCATAAATTTGGCAAAACATGAAATGAATAACCAATTCACTGAAAATTTCATTTTTTTAATGGAGTGGGCTCTTCAACACAATAGGAAATTTGAAATATTAAACTAATGACAAAAATAAGAAATAATAGTTCAAACAAAAGCAGTTTTGCCACATTACGATTGTGATTGTACATAATTCTGCCATTAACTTGGCAGAATCTGAGCCATCCTGTAAAAATTTGGAGAATCGGAATTTGTTTAAGAACTTGGTAATCAAAACGCAAATATGAAATAGAAGGTCGAAATTGGCAAAAGCAATGTCCACAATCAGAAAAGAAGAAGAAGAAGAAGAAGAAAAGGAGGAGGAGGAGGAGGAGGAGGAGGAGGAGGAGGAAGAAGAAGAAGAAGGAGAAGGAGGAGGAGGAGGAGGAGGAGGAGGAGGAGGAGGAGGAGGAGGAGGAGGAGGAGGAGGAGGAGGAGGAGGAGAAGAAGAAGAAGAAGACTCTATGGCGGTGGCGTCCGATGAAGTCAACAGCGGCAGCTTGAATCCGAAACTGATGGATCGGGTGGAGATCCGTCGTTAATGGTGAAATCAGCGGCGACTGCGATGGCCTAGTAGTCGATCAATTATCTCAATCGTAAGAAGAGGAGAGAGGCGGGCGTGGGTTAAGTCGGTTTGATGCGTGCGCAGGGAAAGATGGGAAAAATAGGTGCAAGGGTAATATGGGAATGCTAATTTCTCTATGTTTAATAATAGGATTGATTTGGTCCTATTTTGAGAAAAAAAACATAACAAGTCCTATTTTTGAATTTCACTCTAGTTTTACTCCTATTTTGGGATAATTACTATAAACTGAAACACCATGAAATAGTAGGGCTGGATTCGATTGGGGTCCCGAACCAAACCAGTGTAACTTTGAACCGAACCGACATATCGGTTATACAAATTACCATAAACGAAACTGAACCGTTCATGAGAAGGGGACCGGTTTATTGGGAACCGATTTTTTGGGTCGGTTCACCAAAAACCGAAAAAACCGATTTTTTCATTAAAATAAATAAATTGAACAACTATTCAATGCATTAAACTCAATACAAGTATACAACTTGCTAGTAGAATTTTGAGCCCATTAAGGACCACTCAACTACTCCAATTTGAGTAATACGTAACCTACTCGGTCACACTCTTACTTGTTAGCAATCTCTCATTTCATAAATACCAAGAACTATTCACCTGGTTTGGTCTCGTCATGTAAAATATATGTTTTCTTACTATTTAACAAATACTCTGTATTTATCCAACTTTAATAAATTCCTATGTTCTAGAAAGTGGCACCAATTAGACTGGTCCAACATAAAGAATTTTTAAGATCAAATGAATTTTTACACATAATGTTTTACATGCAAAATACTTCCACTGTTCCCCAATTAAAGTTCCCGTTTGACTTTTGACCAAAACTTTTTAACCTTTGACCATTCATTTCTCAAAATTGACAATATTGTATCGCAAAAAATTATTTTTGTGTGCTTCATTATATTATGTATTATCCAAATATAAATTCATTATAGATTATAGTATTATGTAAGTATATTTTTACATATAAATACAGGAAAAAGTTAATCTAGAAGTCTGTAAAATTAACTGAGACTTTAATTGTGGGACACTAGTTACTAAGGCATGCGCTAAATTTGAAAAATATTTTGAATGCATATGTAAAGAAATTACGAAGTATGTAAAAAAATGGAATTTTTTGGTACCGGTCTGACCAGATATACTCTGGTGTCTATGCAAATTAACAATTTCATTTTGCTGGTATATTTGGGTTTTGAATCTTTTGACACGTATAAATTAAAAAGTTTGTGTGCCATTGTTAATTACTTGGTTGATTCTCTTTGTTTGAACTTTAAAAGGGTGAATTATGGGAAACTGTTAAATAGGTCCTCGAACTTTCATAAAAAGGTCAAATAAGTCCTTATATTAGAGTTTCCTTCCGGCCATCGCGATTTGGGGCGGTTCCCGGTGGAGTTTTTTGATGAAAATTATTGAACATCTTATTTATCAAGTCTAGTTTACTCATACCAAATTTCAGCTAAAACTTTAATCAAGAACACATTCAAATTAATTATTGAAGATAACTGTGCAGTTAAATGATTTGTTATCTTCAAGAATTAATTTGAATGTGTTCCCGATTGAAGTTTTAGCTACAATTTGATATGAGTAAACTAAACTTGATGAATATGATGCTCAAAAAATTTCATCAAAAAATTACACCGGAAACCGCCCCAAATCGCGACGGCCGGATAGAGCCTCTTAGATAAGACTTATTTGACCTTTTTACGAAAGTTGGAGGATCTATTTTGACAGTTTTCCGTGTGAATTAAAGATCCTCTGTTTCTTGCTTGGCTTCGAAGAATGATCACAGCCTCACGCACTATCTCCCTACTAGCGTCCTTCCAACACACACATAGTATATATAGTGCCTTTCAATTCCTTGGACACCCAAAGAAACCTTATTCTATTCTCCATTTCCTAGTCACTCTTGGCTTTTCTCTGCCACTCTTTCTGTATATATTATAAAGTCGTCTTATTGTCTACCCTCCATATCAAAAACATTAAAATGAGGAAGGTACGTACTTATAATCTGTTCTTAGCATACTCTTACTTATAGTAGAAGTAAAACTACAAATTACCATCTCTTATTCATTTGTTGATTTACTTTGCAGCAAAAAGTAGTGATTAACATTATTCTGAGGGATGAGAAGGCTCGAATCAAAGCCCACATGATTGCCGTTCGACAATCGGGTAACTTGCTATCTATGAACGGTCTTTAAGAGTTAAGATGTTCTATATATTCATACATGATTTCAAATTGCGCTCGCCGTTGTGGTAGTTGCGCTTGCAACAGTTGCGATGCTTATTGTGTTTGATGTGAGGTAAAATAATATTACTTTCCCATGGAATAAAAATAATGTTCTGATCGTGTTGCAGGGGCGGAATCAGGGCACTGGACCAGACTAGAGAATATTTTTGAAAAAATGTTACACAAAATTGTTTTACACTAAAAATGTAGACATTTTTAAAATTTAGGGTGGGTCAGGGCCAAGGCCAAGGGTGGCTACCCCCTAGCTACGCCTATGTCCTGTTGTGGTCGGATGTGACCTAATGCGGTTAAGTTGCAATTGCGGTTGCGTTCACCGTAACTATGGGTGATGTGTTGGCGCTGTGGACCGCAACCACAATATTATTGGTGCAACATGTGTTGTGGTCTACAATTTAAAAATATGTACTTGTGTATAATTTGACTATCATTTGATTCGGTCAACATTAATCGTGGTTTCTAAATTTGTTCATTCTTAGGAGTTACTTCGGCAGCTGTGGAACAAGAGAAGGGGCAGATAGAGGTAGTCGGTGAGTTTGACGCGGTGGCATTGGTCATCGAGTTACGAAAGAAACTTGGCTATGCTGATATAGTGACAGTGGCCGATGTGGTTGAGGAAAAGGAGGAAAACAAGGAAGAAAAGGAAGAAGAAAAGAAAGAAGAAGAAAAGGAAGAAAAGGATGACAAATCAAAACCTCAAATTTCAACCACTAATGGTCTTTACTATTACACTTATGCAGTTAATGATTATGATCATGGAGGAGGATGCACAGTGTTTTAATTTTAATCCGATGTGGTGAAGGATTAATCCTTAGGCACCATCATATGTTAATTTGCCAATCTTAGTTATATGCAATAAGAGGAGTTTGCAAGAACTTGTATTGTTTTCTTTTCATGTTTATCATTTGATCAGGCTTGGTGCCCTGGTCTATAAGTTTGTTGGGAAATGAATTGGCTATAAATCCAGGCGTTGCTCTTTGATGTAAAGAGTTGAAGGCAAAAAAGAGAGTCGAAGACCATTGAAGGCAGGGTTGGTTGACTAAGTTGGAAGGTGTTTTGATTCAGTGGAACAATTAGAATAAGAGGTTTTGGTACTTTTGTTTATGTCATCTTCTATTTGAACTTTAATGTTTGTTATTGTCCGATAACTTTAATTGGTCTTGTTAAGCAATAGTGTGTGCAAGTCAATATTTTGGATCCCGTTTTGGAATCCCTATTTTGAGCTTCATCTAGTAACTCTTTTCACCCGCAAATTATACCGTGGGATCGTTGCACCGTGAGCACGGTGCACCCGATCCCAAAACGGTACCGTTTATCAAATAAAACAGAGCAAATTTCTTGCACCGCTAAAAAGACTGTCCGATCCGCTGATTTAGTGTAGGGGAAGTCCGCATCTGGAATTGCTTGGCTCCAACCTGGGAATTGCTTGGCTCCAATCTTTGACTTTCTGGTGCATCTCGAACTGCAAGACCTGCTGCGCCGCGTTCTGATTTCAGGGTTGATGTTGGGGTCTCGCCGGTGCTTCACTGAGGAAGATGACAGGATTGCCTGTGGGATTGTCTGAACTGACTGCGCTTGGTTTTGCTTTAATGGGGATGTTTTTGTTTGAGATCTGGACGGTTAGTGGAAGTTGCCTTCAATCGGAGAGTGGAGTGGATGGTCTGGGTGGGTTGGTTTTAGTTTGTTTGACAGGATGAAGACGATTACCACCATTCGAAGCTTGGGGATGGAATATTTTTATTTGGGCTCAAGTTACATGTGTTTTAAAGCAATTTACATTTCCATTTGGTTCAAGTTACATTTTCATACATACAGGTTACATATCAATTTGATAGAAGTTACACTTTGTAACACGTGGTTTACATTTCGTGTATGAAAGGTGAGAGAACCATTGAAGGGTGTAATATGAGTTACATTCAGGTATCGAGTTACATTTGTAGTTAACTGAAATTACATTTTATAACAACGCGAGTTACATTTCAATACACGCGATTTACATTTTACATAACGCGAGTTACACCACAATATAATGCGAGTTACACAACATAATAAGTCCTTGTTATTAAAAAAATAATTTTCTTAAAAAAAATCTTTTTTATAGCACTGCTATTAAAAACAAAACATATACTCTATTTATGTAAAAAAAATAGGGAATTAGACAAGTTAATATTTTATTTTTCATTGAAATTAAAATTTTATTTTTTATACCGAAGTATTATGTATTGGACAAGTTACACTTTGACTAGACTTAAGTTGCATTCATCAATAACGTGCGTTACATTTTTTTACACGTGAGTTACATCATTGTGCTACTGGAACAAAGAAAACAAAAAGTACTGTTCACGCGTGTACTGTTCACGCGTGTACTGTTCACAGCGAATTTTTCTTTTAAATAATTAAAACTGCGTCGTTTTTTAATGTGGAGCACGGTGCTCACCGTGGGATGATCCCACGGTATAGGAACTGCTTTTCACCATACCTCACCGTGTTGAATCGTGTAATGTCAGAAGCCTCACCAAGAAATTGTGAAGTAATAATATGGTAAAGTAATACTACCTCCGTAACTTAAAAACCTTCTCATTTCAAAAGTAGGTAGATTAAGAATAGTGAAAGGAGATATGAATTATTGAGGGTATGATGGGAAGATAGTGGAATAATGTGATAAAATGTAGGATAAATCCAAAAAGTAGTTGTAATAGTGTATTATTTTTAGAATTATTGAGGGTATGATAGTAAGATTTAGAAGTGAGAAGATTTTTTTGTTATGGACGAAAAAGGAAAGTGGGAAGATTTTTTTGTTACGGAGGAAGTAATATGGTATATTAAGATATTGACTTTTTAGGATAGAACAATGGGTCTTAATATGTAATAATACAAATAACTAAGATTGCATTACTTTTCTGATCGAATCGACTAAAGTTACAGTAGATGATCATTTTAGCTATTTTCGTATAGTATTTTAAGTATTCTATTAGCAAAATATACTTTGAATATAATTTCTCCAATTTAGCTAATTCAAGCTTCAGTTTGACTTTTATTAACTTTACCAGATTCAACCAATTTGAGTGTTATTGAATGTCTCTAAATTTTCATTAGTTAAACGTTTTTTATTTTCATTTGTGATGGACCCGATCAAGAAAGTAAAAAGCTATTTGAATTAACATTCTAGAAATTCCACTTTTGTCGTGTTTGTTTATTGTTATTTCAACTTTCAAGTACGTAAACTGTAAAGTATTTATAAGAACATAAATTGCCCAATATAGGAGTAAACATAAACATAATTGCACAAATAGGAGTGAAACTTAAAACTTCCTTCAATAGGAGTAAACATTAATTTTGTACCCTTAATACCCCTAACCTAGTTAATTCTAAAATATGACTTATTTGATCCTAATAAAATATAAAAAAATCTAAAATATTTGAAAAAATATATTGAAATAATAAAAATTAAAAAAAAAATATTTTTAAAAAAAAATAAAAAAAATTGAAAATAAATAAAAAATAGATAAACCACATTAAAAAATATAAAAAAATTATGCAGGCCTTTGCCGCAACCTCGGCCATCACCCAGCAATGTCACCTCCGATCGGCGGAAAAAAATGCCATCTTATGTTAAAACTTTCATTTTTCTTTGAAAATGACATAAAGATGGCAGTTTTGCTCTTTGAAAATGCCAAATTTTTTCAAAATCTGCCATCATGATGGCATTTCGGAAAAATGTTGGCATTTTTTTTCGGTGGTCGGAGCTGGTGGTGCTGGAAGGTTGTTGAGGCGACGGCAGACGCCTACATTTTTTTTGTTTTTTTTTTACTTCTAATTTTTTAGTTTTTTATTTAATATTTTTTATTTTAATAATTTTTATTTTTATTAATTTTATTGAATACGAAGTATGTTTTATTTGATATATTTTTGTGTTTTTTCATTTTTTTTACAATTTTATTATAAATTAATGTTATTCCTTTTATGTTTTAATTATTAATGAAAGTTGTTGGGACTTGGGTAGGGATATACTTGTCTAAAAACTAAAGTTACTCCTATTCAAAAAATTGTACTCCTATTTTTGCATTTTGCCTATCTTTTACTCCTATTTGGAGAATTCTCTCTTATAAGAATAATGAAGTTTATCGAAGAGCTGATAAAAGTTTGCCAAAGTATGCATGTAAGTGATGTAACATTAACAAAGGGAAAAGGTGGGCAGAAACGAAAGAGTTGTAGATCATCGATTTTGACTTTCGTGGTGTTTGGAAATTGACGTTTCAACGAGAAAAAAATGGCGATTTGATCCCTGTTAAAGTTTTCAATAAGTGAAAATGTTGTTTCGTAAATAATCTATCGACCTTAACGTTTTTGGACAGAATCGCTGAAATGGAAACACTGTAAATAGGAGAGTTTTTGGTTAGAATTTTGAAAGATGGCATTTTCTACTAATTGTTAGGCCAAAAAACTAAATTACCAAACATCTACTGCAAACCCGCTGACATGCACTTTGTCGTGGTGCGTCAAAATAAATTCAATACTAGCACTTATAGTGAAGTAGAGTTCGTATCCACAGTGAAAGGAATAATTATATTTTTATGTAACTAGTAAATAAAGGGGGGTTTTGATTGAGTGATTTAATTAAATTAAACACGAAGAAGAACGACTTATATGAGATTTAATTCAAGAATAAAAGGGACTTGGTCTTGCTACTTTTCACTTGTTGATATATTTCAGTCAATCATTGTTATATCTATAACTTATCCCCTCTCGAATACTCAATCGCGGAGTATCTCCAATTCATCGAGGATAGTTATTAACAATGACCGTTCATTAATAACCCTTACTATTAATCAAATATAGAACAACGTCGTATACCGATATAATAGTAGTATTTAATCTCTTTAACTCCTTGATGAAATCAATTGAGATTGATAACCTCAACACAACGGTTTCGGTTTAACCAACAAAATTAATCCCTCTTAAGTTTATTAACCACGACCGTGCATTAATAAACCGAAGTTACTTACTTGTGAAACCATCAACGATTAACCATCGGTTCGTTGATTGTTTCTAGTAATAATTAATGTCGGAACGTTAAATAATCGTCACTTAGCAACCCTCCAACACTAAAATAGAATGAGATTAAGGGAAGAATTAATAATCAAGAGGAGAAGTTAAGAAAATAACTCACAACTTTATTAATCAACAAGCTTCAAGAGCAAAACCAAGAATGGGAAGTTTAGCTCCTCGTTTGGAGACTAAACATGCTAGAAAAATATAAAGAAATACTATTCTAAACTGAGCTTAAGAGTATAAAGGAATTGGTCTTATTGTGAAGGAAAAAAGGGTGTATTTATAGGTTTTTGGAGGTGGCAGGGTGGTGTACCCGACCGGGTATATAGGGTACCCGATCGGGTATTTTAGGCAGTTTCCCAGAAAATGACTTTTCGGGACATACCCGGTCGGGTATGTTGGCATACCCGGTCAGGTATGAGCCAAAAAGTCAAAATCCTGCACGTTCTTTTGTCTCTCCAGATTCTGATTTTGACACCCAAATCAACTCAATACCTGATCGGGTATTGCCTATACCCGACCGGGTATATGAAATATTTTTTCAATCTTCTTTTTATCTTGTCCCCTTGCACTTTCCTTGATCTTTTGGGGTCCAAACTTGATCCTTTGGATGATCTTGCCTTGTTTTAAGCTCAGAATAATCATAATCTAAACAAATTACATCTATCTAAGAAAATTAACTAATTACACCAAAAGTGTGTAATTTTCCAAACAACAACAAATAAAACTAGTTAAAATAGAAATAATACATAATAAAAATACAACTCTATCACCCGCAAACTTATTCGGCTAGTAAAATGCGCTGACTAAATCCGCTATTAACAACCCGCTAACATAATTCGATATCTGCTAACCGCTAAATGTCAAACATGTCCTTTATTTACCATTTGAAGCGTTTTTGTTTGCCTGACTTCCTTTTTCCCCTTATGACTTTTGATCATAATTATTATTTTCATTTCAGAAAATATGACACTATTTACTTTTTTTTAAAAAGTGACTCACTTTAAATGAAGAAATAATTATATATCTAGGACTAAATAAATATTGTCGGGGGTCATGCAAGCGATGCGACTTGCTTCGTGAAACACTGTTAGTATATACTCCGGGTATGTCCTAGCG